TCGTTCATCTAGGATCTACTTCACCTAGGCCATGCTCTTCTATCTGGGCCACATTTTTCCACTTTAGATCTAGGATCTGCTTCACCTAGGCCATTCTCTTGGATCTGCTTCACCTAGGCCATGCTTTTCCATCTTAGATCTGCTCCACCTAGGCCATGCTCTTCCACCTTAGATTTGGGATCTGCTCCACCTAGGCCATTCTCTTGGATCTACTTCACCTAAGCCATGCTCTTTCATCTGGAATATGCTCCACCTCGGCCACATTTTTCCATCTTGGATCTGCTTCACCTAGGCCTTGCTCTTCTATCTGGGATCTACTTCACCTAGGCCATGCTCTTCCATCTTGGATCTGCTTCACCTATGTCGATGTCTTTTCTACTTGAAAGCCGTCTTCATCTCTTCAGGAGCGCACATGCCCCCTTATCTTTGCATTCATCCCTTCTAGAAGGGTCTTTATTCTGTCAATGTTGATGCGTTCTCCATCTTCACTGAACTTGTTGTCGCTAACACGTTGATCTTGTACGATAATGGTCATCTATTCTGACTAAGTTCCCACAAATAGCGCCAAATTGTAGGTGTTGATTTCTAACCACACAACCAAATAGGGAATTAGCTGGAGAGCACGCGGCAGAATAGATTAAGCCAACTACCTGCCAACAAGAAGATGAGAATATCGTGGTGGTTCTTCCACTCGGGGGGCGCTTCGACGATCAAGTCAGTAAACTTATCTCAAAGATATCGAACAAGTACTTAAACTCACAAAAAATAAAGTGTCCCTTAGACCCACGAGGGTGGCTTACTTTTTATAACCAGCAATGACTTAGTCCTCTAGAAGTTTCACTTAATAGGACTTAAGCACAATGCTTATCTCAAACTCTCAGCTAAATAGGGATAAACTTTATAATAGTCTTATCCTTATCCAGACTACTTTCACCTAGGATTCTTATTCTCTATCCAGATATCTCGGATTCCGAAATTACTGCACCGAACCTCGACAATACCGCAATCATCTCGACAGACATGACAAGTCCATATGGCACCTCAGTCGACACTTTGGCCACGTGACATCATTCACAAAATACTTTTCCACATTAATTTTTTACCTGTGTAATAACATTATTTAAGAATTTGTAAAATGGATTAATGCTTTTTAAAATAAAAAAGATTAAAAAAATACATTAATATTTATCATTTGTCGATGGCTCGGTCCAATAATAAAATTTATTGTTAGCGTTTATACAATGAAGATTCTCTAAAAATGTATGTAAAGTTACTTATATCATTTTATTATTATTATTATTATTTGTTTTAATAATTTTTGCAAATTTTACTTTAATAAAAGGTTTGTGCACTGAATCGTGTATTTCATAATTATCATTTTTTCATGCATACATTCTAGAAGAAAATAATTGATTTCTGGTTTGCCCAATTAAAATAAATATGTAATCATAACATACGAAAATAAAAAAATTAAAGGGTGAATTATACTTTTCACTCCTATAATTTTATTCAAATTTTATTTTGATCTCTATGTTTTTAATTTAAAGTATTTGGTTCTTATACTTAAATACAGCTTTAGTTTGATCATTTTATCCAAACTTTCGTTAATTTTTTTTTGTGTATACTCCACGAAACTGATAAGTGTCTCAAAAAAATATTAATTTTAACCTTTAATTTGAATGGAATGGTCATATCAAAACTATATTTAAAATGTAAAGAAGAAGCTGTTCAATTTTAAACAATACCGATTAAAGTAAAATTTATGTCAAATTATAAGAATTAAAAGTATTATTTATCTAAAAATAAAGAAGGGATGCAATTCATATAAAGGCAGGCTTTAGTGAGGAGGGACGCGAAGTCATTCTTATCTCCATCATTTCTTATCTCCCATGTAGTGGAGGATCTTTTTGGCCCCACGAAAATCTTGACTAAATTTAAAATAATGTTTCATACACAGAATTTTTATAAAAAAAATATTTAAAATTTTAAAATATTGTCAAAATTTATTTAAAATATGAGTTCAATGACATAAAAAATCAAACTTATGTACTCCTTTCATCTTAAAACATTAATTTTTTTATTGTCTCAAAATATTAATTTTTTTTTTGAAAGTCAAGAACTAAAATAATATAAATTTTTTATTTTATCTTTTTTTAAAAATTTATTAACAATACAAAACGTACAACTATGACAATTAATATATTTTTAAAAAATATACTATCAAAATAATTTTAAAAAATTAATATTTTGATGTGTAATAATTATACCGTCATATAAAGTTAAATTATCTAAAAATGACTATTATTTTTAAACAAAAAGAGTATTATTTCTTAGATATATTTCTGCGCATAAATTTTGTACACATATTATCGCTGCTAAAATACATCGAAAATCAGAAAACGATCAAGAATGTAAACATCACCACTGACATGGAAGACATAGAAAATGTGTTTAGCATTGTTTTTGAAAATGATTTTTATTATTTTTTAATTTGTTGATGGAGACAACGAACATTAGTTAGAATTTCCGATCCTCCATGGCCTTGTTCTGAAAAATTATTGTTTGTTCCGGAACCAGATGAGTTGGTACTCCAACTCAGAAGTATTTTGGAAGTATGATTAAAAATTAATTTTTAATTTTTTTATTATTTTATATAAGAAGTGATGTGAATAAAAATAAATTAAAAGTTAATTTTTTTAATTTTTTAATGTGTTGTCAAAATATCCGTTAGTTATTATTAATTAAATCGATAGAATTTATTCTATTTTTATCACTTTTTAAGAAATAATAAAATATTTATTTCTCAATAAATATTGTGTCATTTTGGGAACATAGTAAAAAGTCACATTTTTAGACAAAATGTCCAAAAACGCAAGTGCCAAAAACGCGGTTTGGCAAGTGCTAAAATCACAGGTGTAAAATTACAAATTAGGGCCTACGAAAAAAAAAATTAAATTTCTTATGTTGGATAAGGATATTTTGGTCATTTTAATTTGATTTGACACTATAAATAAATATTAAACTAAAAAGTAAAAAGTTAACTTTTTACCAACTTCTCAAATTACTTTTCAAAAAATTAAAAAATTTGATAAAAAATTAAAAAATAACTTTTACTAACTTTCCAAAACACTCCATTAGAGAGTAATATTTCAATAACTTTTCCCTTATTCTTGTCTACTTTGGACAACTTATGTTTCAGCTTTAACACATGTCAACATCAATAATATTATAAGCTTCGTGCGGCATTCGTTACAGTAGCCGATGTTTGTGGCTTATTTTAGAAAAATGGTAAAAAGTGATTTTTTTGACTTTTAATCAAATTTTTAACTTTTTTAGATAAATGATTTGAGAAGTTAGTAAAAAATGACTTTTGATTTTTTTTTATTACTGTTTGTTTATGATGTCAAATCATAATAAAATGACCAAACTACCCCATTTATTTAAAATATTTACAACTTCACCTATGTAACACATTTTGACCTATGAGGGTAAAATTGTAATTTCACCGTTGGCTAAAAACCAACCTCCCAAATGAAAAAAAAAACAAAAAAGCCCACTTTTGGCTTTAACTTGATTTTTTTAATTTTATTTGGTTTTTTATTTTTAGATTTTTTTTAGTTTTGTGAAAAAAAAAATATAATAATTATAATTTAAATATAATATTTTATCTTATTAATTTATATAATTAATTTTATTTTTTTATACTTTTTTGATCCCAAAATATTTATCAAACAAAGGAGTATATTGTTCTTGTCTACTTTTAAAATACTAAAGTTATGTTTGGGAATGGATTTTTGACTAAAAAAGTACAAAAGATAAAATTGGTTACATAAGCTAATAAGATAAAATGTCACATCTAAATCATCATCATTACATTTTGCTCTCACAAAATTCAAAAAAGTCAAAAATAAAAACCAAACGAGACTAAAAAAGCCAAGCAAAATAGTAAAAAAGCCCAGCTATTTTAGCTCTTTGTTTGGGATGTGGAATGGCTTTTTGGCTATTTTAGCTTGGAAATAAAAAGCCTTGTTTTGGATGGATTTTTTGACTTTTTTAATTTTTGTGAGAGAAAAGATAAAATAATTATGGTTTAAATGTGACATTTTGTCTTATTAGACTAAAAAATCTATTTTATTTTTTTATGGGTAAAATAACCCCAACCTAACCCAAACTTGCATGCCAAACAAACCCTAAGTGATTTATATAAATACAATCTGATTAAATAATTATTGATATTCAATTAAAATAATGTTTTTATTTGATCACTAATATACTAAATGATTTGATCATTATAAATTTTTTATTTATCAATTATTATGTCAAACTTTGTCTTTTAATAGTGGTAAATTCACTATATTATTACATTGGTGATAAAGGATATAATAAATATTTTTTTATAAATAAATATAAGGGTAAATTATTCTTATAATCTATGTTGTTTAGTTATTGTGTTAATTTGATTACTAATTATATTAAAATTATCTTTACAAATTTTCTTACTAAATTAATTTAGTCTAATTGATAATGGTCATTTAAAAATTGAGCAATACTAGAGATTTACATTTTTTAACTCACAAATCATCTAAAATGATGTGACAAGGAGTAGAGCTCTATATTATTGGATGTGTGATAAATAAAAAATTAACACATTTGATATCATATCATTGTGGATGCAATTATCGAAGTTTTTTATGTCTTAAACATTTTCCTTAAACATTATATTGAAATTATGAAACAAAATAGATTATTCACTCTTATCAAAGAGGTTGAAAAGTTGGTGTTCAATTTAATTGTAAATAGACCATTGTGTCTTTGATTTTTGCCAAATTAGTTAGCGTCTGTTTGGTAACAATTTTGTTTTTAATTTTCAGTTTATCTTTATAAAAATTTAAAAAATTGTGCTAAAAACTTGTTTGATAAATTTTTGATTTATAATGCTAGTTCTTAGTTTATAAATTGGACCCAAAAAATATAAACTGAAAAAAGGTGTTTTCATTGGTTTATAAATTTGGCACTGTAGCGGAAGTCACTGTAGCAGAGCTACAGTAACTTAGGTGTCGGCATAATGACCACAGTTAAAATCTTCGGAGCACTCGAATTCAATTTGATTTTCTCCCAACGGTAAAATAAAAGTTGTATCTAAATCTTATCATCTTCCTCTACTTCATGTTGATTGAAACTTCAGCAAATCAGGTCAGTCTCTCTCTCCCCTCTCTTCTCTCTCTCCCCTTCCTTCTCTCTCTATCTCTCCCCTCTTCTCTGTGTTCTCCCTTCTTCAGATGCACGCTCAACCATCATCCTTCTTGAAACACTGCCATTGTTGTTGTTTTTCTTAAGAGGAAATGCTACACCAGTCCCAAAAGAAGAGCTTGATGTCAAAGCATAACTTGATGATGATGATAAGAGCACAAACCCAGCTGTAGCTGATGCCATGTTGCATGTAGCTATGGCCACTTCTCCTCCCCCTCTCTCTCTCTCTCTAACTTTGTTCTTTCTCTTTCTGTATCTATCTATCTATCTATCTATCTATGAAGATGTTGTGAATATCGTTTTAGATGATTCCCAAAAAAAAAAAAAAAAAAAAAAACTAAAAGGATAATATTTACGGGACAGATATGTTTTTATGGTTTGTGGAAGAATTGGGATGCTATTATTATGGTTTGCAAGTTGTTATGAACATTCCTAATATGGTTATTAAATTTATTTATGGTTAGTATTTTAACAATATGGTTATTATGGATGTTTATTATAATGCGTATGATCCCATTGTCAAAAATAAAAAAATAAAAATTCTAGGCCTTAACAAACATGTTTTTTAGTTTATATTTTCAAAATTTTTTAAATATTTTGTCCAAACCAAACGCGTTTATTATTTATGTTTTTCTAAAAATAAATAAAAACTAATTTATAAAATATTTGTAAACATAAACAAAAAACGTAAATGTTACCAAACGATACCTTAACAAATGTATTAATTGGATTAAATCGACAAATTGTGAAAATCCAAATGCAAAATTGTTACAATTAAAATTATAAGAATTAAATTGATACAAAAGACAAATTATAAGGACTCCTTGTGTAATTTGCCTCAAATATAATTATCATAATATTATTACATTATTAATAATGCAAAACTAATTCAATTAAATTAGAGATGAAAAATAAATTATATATATTTGTGCATTAATATAGTAATATTAGTTGGTTGACATGAAATTTATAAATTTTGTAACAACCCTTATTATATAAAAGGAGACTTTATTGTTTTTACAAAGTGACGCCAATTTTGTCTTGTCACGTCCAATCCCATTGAATTAGATTAGATTGTGGTCTATTTTGGAAAACAGGTTAAGGGGTGGTTTGGGATGTCCTAAATAAGTGTACCTTTTGATTTTTTATAAAAAAATGTGTAGAAAAGTAGAGAGGAGATATTGATTGATGTGACTCAAAAAAGATAAAAAGATGGACTAAAATAAATTATGTCAAACAAGGCTTAAAAGTCACTTTTCAACTTTTAACCTATTTTTTTTTTTCTTACAAAAACGTTAAAAAAAATTAAAAAATAATTTTTAACCATCTTTTAAAAAAAAAACCCTCTATTCATGGGAATGTTAATCCCATCATGTGTAGGATTCACAATCTCATGAGACTATTAGTCTCCTTTTATTTTTGTCAACTAAATAAAATTTAGGTCATGTTTGATTATTGAATTATATTAGTTAGTATTAGATTTAGTCAACACTTATAATATCATATCATTTTGAATAAAATTAAGTAAACTTTTTTTTTTTTTAAATGTATCAAACATTTTAGAGATTAAAAATTGAAAAATCTAGAAATCCCTTAGATGATAATTTGTGATTATGTATCAATTTTAAGCAGTATATAACAATCTCAATCAAACAAGCAAGACAAATCGACACAAGGATTTTACGTGGAAAAACCACAATTGGACACCTCCAATTGTGATAAAAAAAACCACGGGCAACAGTCACAAAACAATCCACTAAGAAGATATAAAGGAATTACACAGGTATACCCTCAATTACCTAGCGAATCCACGCCCGAATTGAACCAACCTCTATGTATCTCTTACATCCCCGTCTTCACCTCGAAATTGTCTTGACGTTGAGCCACTCCGGAATCCACCAAAGCTTCAGGCTCGAATTCTTTAGAATCCACCGAAGAACAACTCTATCTTTTGTGTAGAATAAATAAACAAACCTTTGATGTATGCTTCTTAAACCATGAGTTGAATACTCAATTAAAACGTCAAAGAAAACTAGCAAAATATCCTCAGGTATAAACCTTAGAACCCAAAAAGAAGATCCGGAGAAGTTGGTCAAGTTTTGGGAGAAAACCAACTACTTATAGAAATCCAAAGTAATCCTAGTTTTGGAAGAAAACCAATTCGTTATAGAAATTTGGATTTTGAAGCTCGCTCGAGCGAAGCTTCTCTCGCTCGAGCGAGAACCTTAACTCGCGTGATTTCCACTAATGCATTCGCTCGAGCCACGAACCCTTCGCTCGAGCAACCAATGAGCTCTTTCAGGTTTTTGTATAGACGCAATCCTTCGCTCGAACGAGGACTTCTTCGCTCGAGCGAGCAAGGGCGGACAACCAACTTTGAAAGCAATTTTGCATTTTGCTTCAAGCGCGAGCTGACAGGGCAGCTCGACCTCCGTCATAATCAGCGAAGTGGCAATCTTGAAAGCATTAACACCACAAACTTCTCTGCAAGACACAATTCAGGTTAGATTCGCATCTAAACACTCATAACCTCACTGAAATAAAATGTGCGAAAACAAATATAACTTAAAGGGGTTTTGTCAAACGGGATTGCCAAGAATAAAAACCTAACAACAATTTCATAGGTTTGTTAGTTCCATATTTTTTTTTTTTATAAATTAAACATGATTTAAATGGAACTCACAGTATTATTAATCTCACTCCGTTTAAATTTCATCAAATTATTAGTTACATAATATTTTTTTGGGTTTATTACACTCTATACCCCTAAACAATCATAAAATTGTCTATGTAGTCCATGAACCATCAATTGTGTCTATTATGTCCCTAAAGTATATAAATCAAAATTTATTTAGTCCTTAAACTATTGATTGAATCCATTAAGTTCCCAAAAAATTTAATTTAAACTTAAAGGATTAAATTAAACATTACAAAAATAAAATATAAGTCTATAAATGTTATAAATTAGTAAAAGATCTTATGTAATTAAAATTTTATTTCAAAAAAATCTTAAATTTTTATTTTATCTTTCAAAAGTTGGCATCAATCCATATATTGAATTTTCTTTATAAGGATAAAGGTAGTTATTTATAATATTTTCAAATAGGCTAAAATAGCTAATAAGACAAAATATCACATCAAACCCATAATCATTTCACTTTTTCTTTCACAAACATCACATCCAACCATAAAAAAATCCAATCATCTTCCCAAACACAAAAATTTAACCTACTAAAATAACTAAAAATTAAAATAGCCTACTAAAATAACAACTTTCCAAACGAAGCCATAGTAATATTAGTTGGTTGACATGAAATTTATAAATTTTGTAACAACCCTTATTATATAAAAGGAGACTTTATTGTTTATAATACGTATGGGGAAGATTTTTTATTGTTTATTGTGCATTAATAGTGGAAGATTTTTTTACTAATTTATAATACGTATAGACATATATTTTATTTTTATAATCATTTTAGGGATTAAATTTTCAAACAAACAAAATTTAAGTGGACCGCACAACTAGCAATCTAATTTAAGTGGGACACAGTAGTAATAATCCAACCCCAACATTTAAGATAGATAATCAATATGAAAATGTTATAGATATTAAATTTTTTATAAATTAAATAATTAAATATCTTATATAAGTGTAGAGTTTATAAAATTATAGATCTTATACCTATGTGAGACATTTATTTAATAAAAAATTTAATATTCTTAATATTATCCAACCAACACGACCTAGGGATTCATAGTCCCACTAAACTATTACCCTGCATTTTTTTCATCAACAAATGATTTATACGAAATTCAGTGACTTGCTAATACAATCCCAATATTTGTGGAGCTAAACAAAAATGGGGTTTAATCATTACTCCAATCGGTTGATCTTATGTTATCAAATCAAAGGTGGGGTAAAAAAAATTGAGAATTACACATAAGAGAATTTTAAAAAAAATATTTACAAGATTATAAAAAAATAAAATTTTAATTATTAATATTTATGAAACTTCCGACTGATGCTTGATTGAATGGAGATGAAAAATATACAACAAAGTTTGATGAATAATGTTTTGTTTGCAAAGTATTAAATAAATTAATTTTTTTATTTTTAAAAAAATGTATAAAAAATAAAAAAATAATATAATCTAAATAAACTAAAAAATAAAAAAATTAACTTATTAGTTACTTTTCAAAAGAAATCTAAATAGGTAATTTTTTTTTTTTTTCTTTGGCCAAAGCAACGGACATGACATGATAGATCCAATGGTTGCAGAGTGTCCATTCCACAGCAAAGATATATCCAAACGAACATAATAGGATAAGATCGTAGGACATGAAATAAAATAGGTAGGTTGTAAATACACTGATTTGTTTAAAAGGTGAGGCCTCTTCGGTCCGATGGAAGTGGGGCGCTGCTGCGTAACCCGCTCAGTAACGTCTTTTGTGCAGCGATATAGGTTTATTTTAAAATTTATTTTGATAATTTGAATCGTTCATGTTTTGAAATACGTTAAGTAGATATATTTATAAAAAATCAAGTTAATCGGATATCGTTTACCAATTTATCTACTCATATTTGTATTCATTTTAATCAAGTTAAAATACATTTTGTATTTATTTTTGTAGATATAAATGTGAGTAGATGAATGGGTAAACGATATCCGATTAATTTGATTTTTTGCAGGCATATTCTACTTGACGTATTGTAAAATATGAACGGTTCGGATTATCAAAATGAGCCCCTACATGGGTCCAAATCACCGCACAACAGACGTTGCTGAACGGGCTCCCAGTCCGATGTGTAGATGGAAACATATTGTTTGGTAGATGGTATTTATAATGAGTTTCGTTTTAATAATTTGAATTGTTTAATATATAAAATTTGTTCAATATTTTATATTTATAAAAAATTATTTTGATTGGATATTGATAACTCCTTAATCGGAACACATTTTTATTAACAATTCATTTTAAAAATTATATTTACCATTGACAAAAATGTATTCTAATTAACGAACTATTGATATCCAATCAATATGACTTTTTTTGCAAGCATGAAATACTTGATGAGCCTTACACATTGAATAACTGAAATCATCAAAACGAGACCCGTGATGGGCTCCATGAGCCCAACAGTATGTTCCAATCCACACAATAAACTAGAGAGAAACCTCTCCCTTGTTTAAAATATAAATTGTCTCACTACACCCTAATAAAATGTGATTACAAGATTATCTCATTTGGAGACTTAAGATTTTAGCAAAAAAATTAAAAAATTACTATAAGTTATCATATCATTCTTTTATACTGTTCTACACATCTTTTTCATGAAAATCAAAAAGTCATTTTCCAAACGAGAGAAATCCAAAACTTATTTAGGTGGTGTTTGATAAAGTTAAATTTTTATTTTTCTACACATATTTTCATGAAAATCAAAAAGTCAATTCCCAAACGAGAGAAATCCAAAACTTATTTAGGTGGTGTATGATAAAGTTAAAAACTGAAAATTGAAAATTCAATATCGAAAATTGAATGTTGAATTTTTTAAACTAAAAAAATGTTTGATAAAAATTTAAGTGTTGAATTAAAAATAATGTTATTTGATATATATAACATTAATTTGAAATTTATTATTTTCAAATTGTATATTTTTAATTTTTATATTGTAGTGGTGGTGGTGATGATGATATGATGATTATGGTGGTCGTAGTGGCGACAGTATTGGTAGCGGTAGCAGTAACAGTGATGGCATAATGGTAGTGATGGAGGTAGTAGTGGTAGTAGTAGTAGCAGTGGTGGTGGTGATGACATAATGATGGTGCTAGTGGTAATAGTGGTGGCGGTGGCGGCGATGGATGATGGTGGTGGTGGTGGTGGTGGTGGTGAATTTATAATAGTATATATCAATATTTATATTTCATTTTTGCAAATTCAGTCAAATTTTAAGTTTCGTTTGATATTGGCTAATATAACCAACTTTTTTATGTTGGAACTTTTTTAGCCTCGTTTAGTTTGAGTTTTAGGTTTTTTTGCCTTTTGTACGAGAAAAAATATAATGATTATAGGTTAAATGTGATATTTTGTCTTATTAACTTATTTAGCCTATTTTGTCATCTTGTACTTTTTTAGCTCCAAAATGATAGCCAAACCAGGGCTTAGTGAGTTTGATATGATTTAAAATTTATTTAAATTTAAATTTATATTTTAAGAGACACTTAAATTTTAAGTGATATCAATTATAGTTATCAAATGAGCTTAATTAATTCTTAATTAATTAATTAAATTTTAAATATTAAATTATATTATCAAACACCCCTTATTATTATGTGATTGAAACATAAAAATATAAAATAATATAATTTTTAAAATTATGAGAGATAATTTATATTTAAACAAACTTTAAAAAAAAATTATAATTTATCTAATAAAAATAATAAAAATAGTAGCAGGATAACAAACAAAACAACAACGTCAACGTCACAGAACAATGACAGCCATCGTTAAAATCAACCCCCAACTCTAACTTTACCATCATCGCCTGTCCCATCCAATCAAGAAGGAGGACCAGTCACAGGGCGGTGATAAAGAATTAGGTTCTACGATTTTTCGACGGTTCAGTTTCGTCCACGTCACCACACCCCCTTTAAAGTGTGACCCGACTCCCCAACCCGGGAATCTAAAAATTCGCCCCATTTTGTGGGGAATGAAAAGTCTTTTCGTTTTCCCTCAATGGACCCAACACGTGGCGTTCTTCAACCATAAGCCAGCTTAGATATTAAATGCAACCCTGGGGTCCACCTAAAAAATTAAAAAAATTAAATGAATTTTCTGAATTTAATTTGAATTTGAATTTGAATTTGGGTTTCATTTCATACTTCAGAGAGAAGGAAGAAAATGGAGGTCCAGCGAGCAAGAGGAGAGAGAGAGAGAGAGTACTTTCATAGGCTCGACTTTATTGACCTTTAACACAAAAAAGAGGAGAAAAGTCTATCTCCCTCTCTGTCTCTCTAGTTTTGTAACTTTCTCTCTCTAGCTTTTCCCTCCCATTGCCCGGTCGTGTGATTAAAGGGGGGGGTCTGTGATTTTTGGGAAACCAGTTCTCAACTTGTTCTCGTTTTGCTCTGTTGAGACCCAATTCTTAGCAGCAATCTTCCTCTCTTATAGAATCAAGGTATGTCCGGTACCTTTTTCATATGTGTATATGCATATATGTATGAGCTTTAATTTACACAGATTTTAGTGTTTCATAAGCATCAATTTGGTATGTTGTTGTATTTGTTCGATTGGTGATTGATAAAGTTTGATTTTTGATTAATAAACATGGTTTTTTGAATTTTTGGGTTTTGTTGTGCGAGTATATGGAAATTTAGGTATGAAATTGCACGCATTGAACGATTCTGTTCTGCTTTTCTTGTAGTTTTAGTGTCTGTCTCATGAATTTTGATCAAAACATTCGAATGAGTTGTTGTCTATGATTAATTTTTTTTTAAGTATTTCTTCATCTTGAATCTTTGTTAAGCTAGTAATTTCTGTTTAAGAAAATACCCATGTTTGAAATTGAAATTTCTTGTAGAGTCTTTGAGTCTTTGTTTAATGTCTGTATGTTGTTGTGGTTTTGTAGAAAGAGAGCATTCACTGTGCAGTGGTTCCAAGGGGAAACCCTGTCCAATTGGTTTAATAATGGAGGGTATTATTGAATTTGAAAAAAAGAGGCGAACTTTCAGTAAATTTTCACTTTTGCTCGAATTAGCGGCGACCGATGATCTGATCAGCTTTAAAATTGCTCATGAAGAAGAGGCTCATGATATTGATGAGTCAAGCTTATGGTATGGTAGAAGAATTGGCTCAAAGAAGATGGGGTTTGAAGAGAGGACACCCCTTATGATTGCAGCCATGTTTGGTAGCAAACAAGTTTTGAGTTACATACTTGAAACTGGAAGAGTTGATGTTAATAGGGCTTGTGGTTCAGATAGAGCCACCGCTCTCCACTGCGCTGTTGACGGTAGTTCCGTAAATTCACCTGATGTTGTCAGGCTTTTGCTCCATGCTTTTGCTGATCCCAATTGTCTTGATGCTAATGGGAACCGACCCAGTGACTTGATAAATCCGTATTTGTATTCTTCCTTCAATTCGAAGAGGAAAGTAGTTGAATTCCTGCTAAAGGGAAGCAATAATATTGGGGAAGAATGTTTCTTGGCTGATCAGGGCTTTGAACATAACGAAGAACAAAATGATCAACAGATGTTGACACCGACCTCCTCTAAAGATGGGAGTGAGAAGAAAGAATATCCTGTTGATCTCTCTCTTCCAGACATCAAGAACGGGATATACGGGACGGATGAGTTTAGAATGTATACGTTCAAGGTTAAGCCTTGCTCGAGGGCTTACTCGCATGACTGGACAGAATGTCCGTTTGTCCACCCTGGGGAAAACGCTAGGCGACGTGATCCACGGAAATATCATTATAGCTGCGTGCCATGTCCCGAGTTCCGAAAGGGGACGTGCAGGCAGGGGGATGCTTGTGAATACGCACATGGAATTTTTGAGTGCTGGCTTCACCCTGCGCAGTATCGAACCCGTCTCTGCAAAGATGAGACGGGTTGCTCCAGAAGGGTGTGCTTCTTTGCTCACAAACCTGAAGAGCTTCGCCCCTTGTATGCCTCAACCGGGTCAGCAGTGCCTTCTCCTAGATCATTCTCAAACGGTGCTCCTTCGTTGGATATGACATCAATGAGCATGCTTGGTCATGGTTCTCCTCTTTTGATGCCGCCCACTTCAACACCACCTATGACTCCTTCAGGAGCTTCTTCTCCTATGGGTGGGTCGATGTCTATGTGGCAGAACCAGCACAACATCGTGCCTCCCACACTGCAGCTTCCTGGTAGCCGGTTGAAGTCTTCGTGGAGTGCTAGAGACATGGATTTAGATGCTGAATTACTTGGGCTTGAAAGTCATCGTCGCAGGCAGCAGCAACAGTTGATGGATGAGATGTCAAGTCTCTCCTCCCCAACCAGTTGGAATTGTAACTTGGCTACTGCTGCAGCTTTTGCAGCTTCGTCTTTTGATCGAAGTGGGGATTTCAATAGGCTCGGAGGTGTGAAACCTACCAACCTTGATGATGTTTTCGGATCTATTGATCCTGCAATTTTGCCTCAGTTCCAGGGACTTTCTCTAGATGCCTCCGCATCCCAAGCGCAGTCTCCAACTGGAATGCAGATGCGCCAGAACATGAACCAGCAGCTCCGCTCGACCTATCCTACAAGCCTTTCATCCTCACCAGCCCGTGCATCGTCATCAATGGGGATTGACCCATCTGGGGCTTCAGCAGCTGCAGCGGTTCTGAGTTCAAGGGCAGCTGCCTTTGCAAAGCGGAGCCAGAGCTTCATCGATAGGAGCACTGTGAACCATCTCTCTGGGCTTCCTTTGCCTGCTTCTTCTGCAAATGTAATGCCTTCTAACCTTTCGGATTGGGGATCTCCAGATGGGAAATTGGATTGGGGCATTCAGAAAGATGAGCTGAACAAATTGAGGAAGTCTGCTTCTTTTGGCTACCGAAGCAACAGTAGCAAGTCTTTGGTGAACGATGCCCCAATGGTAAAATCTGGGCACTTCGATTTTGAGGAGCAGTATCAGCAGTATCATTTGACCAGTGGTGGTTCTGAGATTCTCCCCTCTTGGGTGGAGCAGCTGTACATGGAGCAGGAGCAGATGCAGATGGTGGCTTAAAACTGAAGTTAGCATCTGCATTGGTTTTCTTAATTTCAAATTTAACAATATTTCTTGCCATTTTTTGGAATTTTTATTCATATTCACCGTATGTAGGTGGAAAGAAATGGAGAGAAGGTAAGGCCTTACTAAAATGTTGAAAACAAGGAACTTGGGCAGGATAAAAATGATTCTGCTCAGATATTATATATTTATTTAATTTCACAACCTACTTTTGCCCCCTCTTACTGTGTTTCTTTTGTTCTTGTATTGATAACTGCTAGAAAAATGTTAGATGAATATTTTCTTCTAAGACGATAGTTCAGTTGGCACTACCAAATTGTGATGTGAAATAGAAGTGCGGAGTTTTATCTATTTATTGGTTCATAATTTACTTGTGGGGTTGATGCTATATGTAAAACAAATTTATCTAAATTGAATACTTAACAATGTCACTCATATTAATGTGGCACAACCTTCTTGGAGCTATGATGTGTTTGTGTTTTTCTTTCCTGAGAAAATGATGGAGGAACTGCAAATGCATTGTAATTGGCATGGTGCTTGCTGCAGAAGAATATTAACAGCCTAGTTTGTAGATCCCACTAAGATTTCTTTTTATACTTTGGATATGTTTGTCTGCAGCTTTTAAACCAGTTAAAAGTATTGAAAGCCATCCGCCCTATTGTCTTCTATCTTCATTCCTTTTCTTTTTGCTTTTGGGAACAGCTTCTCCGGTCCATTCGGACTGGAGCTTGTTGTTAGCCCACCACGGAGCCTATATTGATGATCCGAACTGTGTAATGTGTACATCTCGTTGAATACTTTGGACTTCCAAAAAATTACGTTGATTAGATATTGATAGTCACTTGATCAGATTAAATTTGTGTCAACGGTATTTATGATTTTAAAAATAAATTGTTAATACAAATGTGATTTGATTAAGTGTCTATCGATATACAATCAGCGTGATTTTTTTAGAGGAATTAAGTATTTGACAAGCCTTACGCATTGAACAATTTGAATTATCGATATGGGTCCGTGGTGAGCCCAACAGGACGCTCCTGTTGGGAAACACAACTGGAGAGAAGTCTGAGCCTTTGCTTTTACCTGAACTTTTGGAATAGAGTAAATTGCTTTCGGCTCCCAAAAGGGTGAGAACTCATGTGTTTTTACAGTTGATAACAGAGCTTTTAAGCGCTTCGCTGATCCTCTCACCCTACCTTGTTTGTGTTGTCTTTTCTTGAGGACCAAGGTTGAAGAAACTGATTCGCCGCTGTCAGATAAACATGCATTAACCAAAAGAATAAAAAAAGCGCTATTTTCTGACGAGGCAATGATATAAAAAATTAGGTATTGTTCGTGACTAACAAAATGCATATTTATGGAGGACGTGGTATTCATTAGCGAGTGTTTGGTGACAATTCCTTATTCTCCTCCGAATGGTCGACCCTTTTTGAATGACAGTGGTTACAGAACTACATTCTTTACTCTTTTAATTTAAGCTTCGTTTGGCATTGGCTAAGGTGGCCAAATTTTTTTGTGTTGAGACTTTTTTAGCCTCGTTTGATTTTTGTTTTTGAGTTTTTTTGATTTTGTGAGAGAAAAAGTATAATGATTGCGATTTAGATATGACATTTTGTCTTATTAACTTATATAATTTATTTTGTGCTTTTGTGCTTTTTTAAGTCCCAAAATGTTTACTAAACAAGGACTTTAGTATAAGAAACATTCTTTAATGTTGTGTTTGGTTGGGGGATTTGGGGAGGGATTTGGAAAGGGAAATGGAAAAGATAGGTGAAATGTGAATAAATTATGCCCTATATTTCGCATAGTTTCACACATCTTTTCCCTTTCCCTTTCCAAATTCCTTCCCAAATCCCCCAACCAAACACAGCATAAGTTTGTCTGCTGAAGAATATAGATTAGCTCTGTAACTATTTTATTTAAAGTAATAAAATATTTTGTATATATTTTTTGTGGGAATTGGTTGTAAATTGCTGTTCTAGTTTGTTTGTAAGGTAGCGGCAACATGAGTACTTTTTGAGTAACATATACATAAATTTTGCTTCTCACTTTATTTCATACCATTCACGTTTATTTATACATGTTTAAGAATGAGAAAATGAAATAAAAAAAAGAAAAGAAAAGAGAAGAGATTATGTGTAGTATTTTCTTTAATATTGATCATGGCATTGACTGTATCCTTTCACGCCGTGTTTGGTTGGAGGGATTTAGAAAGAAAAAGAAAAAATGTGTGTGAAATTAGATAAAATATAGATATATTTTATTCATATTTTATCTACTTTTTTCCTTTCTTTTTCCAAATCACTTCTCAAATCTCCTAACCAAATACAACGTCAAGGTACAATTAATTTCTCAATGTCATATATTTCATTTCAACCAAACAACAAAAAATTAGCTTCTCTCAGTTCATTTTTATTTTTATTTTTCATTTTCCTGAACAAATCAGAGTCCTAAACATAGACCAATGCTCAGTAACCTTTTCTGAAATTGTGATAATTTGCATTAAACTTCTATTTTTATTTTTATTTTCAAATTGAAAATTGTGATGAACAACCTTGTGTTTGTATTATTTTTCTATTTTTAATTCAATTTCAAATCTGTAAGTAAGTTTGTCATAACACTTTCACCTTGTGTGGAAAAGAAGGAAACTCACTTTGGTGGAGAAGATTTACTTTCTTTAAATTTCACTATAATGTACAAATTACAAAATCTCTGGTTTAGCCGAAAAGAGATGTACAGATCTTTCAAGTGTGTTACAGATCAAAATTTTGCATGGGAGGCCTCAACAAGTTGATCTACCAGCTCACCTAACAATGTTTCAAGAATTTGTAACCCAAACTCTACACCAACACCTTTAAAATCTTCTACCTTCCACAATTCTCTGTATACCCAATTCGATTCCATCATGGCCTCTTCAGCCATTTTGCAGCTTTCATTCCACATCTCCACATAGTTCCCTCTCTGGTAATCTTTTTTCTTCGATCCGTGACATTTTCCATGAATCAATTTCCTTCTCTGAACATCACTACTCGAACTAGTACTGGGTTTACACGGAGATGGAGGCGACTGCTCGAAATTTTCAAGCTCTGCTGATAACTTCCTTCTGAAATTTGAACCTGTTGTCGACCTTGCATCTTCCTCTGTTTCAAGTATTTCAAAAAAGTGATTACTTTCAACGAAATTTGACATTATAATTTGTTTGATAACATGAAATAGATTAAACCACAATGAGTAAAACGATAAACCAACAGTGTCTAGTAAAGTAAGTTGTTAAAAAACTTAACAAACTTCAAAATATGTTGAACTAATTTGCATAACCTACGGAGTTCGATTGAGTTTTGAACGAGTCAAACATGTGGGTGGGGAAAATTATGAACAAAATAGGAGAAAACAGACCTGATGTAGGAATTTCTTCGGGATCAAGAATAGATTCAACAAAGTCCAGAACAGAAACAGGGCTTGAATTCTCTGAGTTACACTCTGTTTCGACCTTCGCTGCAGAGACACTCTCTTCTTTTTCCTTCCTCTGTTTCGCTCCATTAGACCTTTCTCTGTTGTTTATGGGTTTCGATTGATTTACATCCTCTGTCTCAACGTCTGAATTACAGTTACAGTCGTTGGTGGGACGAAGAACATCACTTGCATCTTTACCTTCACCATTGCAGACCACCTCTTGTGTAGCCTCGTGATTGATCAACCTGTTAGGCTCTTGATTTTCCTTCAATTTCTCACACTTTCTCTTGCATCTCTCTGCTTTTCTTCGCTTCAATTTTCCAGAACCCGTCTCCGATCTACGTTCTTTGGATCTAAATTCTTTATTTTTACCTCCATTCCCAAAGTTTATAACAAAAAACTCATCATTTTCTAGCTCCAAGAAACTCGGAAGTTGGCGAAAAGACAAGGAAGTCCCCACACGCCCACGATGCCCCTGCATCGACTCATTCTCAGTCCAAGAATCATAATCCATCGATCCGCTTCGCTCAATCGAATTAGGAGTCAATTGGGCCTTAGCTAAATCGAACAGTGGCATGGATTCCAAACCCATTAGCCTCGCCACAATCCCTGGAGTTTCTTTTCCCTCAATTTTCTCCTCTGTTTCCCAGCCTCCAAACTTGTTAGACTCTAAATTGAAGCCAGTGTCTTTGAATTGATCTGAGGGGTGGGTGGGGAGACAATTGAAGCAAAGAAATTGTCTTAACATAGTTGCCAGTGAGTTGCCTTTACTGCCACTAAATGTGGTGGTGGTGGGGGTTGAGGATGAAGAGGAAGACAAGAACTTCATGTTGGATAGGTGAAAAAGTGAGAATAAGAAATTGGGTTTTGTTGAATTTTGAGACACTGGTAAAAGGGAATAACAGTTGAGAAGAAAAGCAAATGGGAAAAGAAGGATTTGAATTGAGTTAAAGAAAGCAGAGAGAGAGAGAGAGATGATGGGGTGGCGGGCTTTGGGTTTGAATGATGTCGGGGGGATGGCACTGAGCTTTTGATAGAGAAAAGAAAGGAGTGATGTTCCCACGCGCCCTGAAAAGTCAATCTCTGTTCAATTTTTGTCCCCACCAAAATTAATTTTGTTTTATTTTTTGCTGCATTCTTTTTTTTCTTTTTTTAAATGAGCAAAAAAAATGATAGAGATTTAAATAAAAGAAGAAATTACTAAGAGTATCTCTAATGATTTGTTATTGAAACTACCAAAACTATAATATTACAGTTTTGCACCAAAAGTGATTTTCCAATGGTTCAAGATGGCAGCTGTTAAATTTGACAAATGTCAAAGTTTGTGCTAAATTTGACATAAGTTTTGACAAATGCCAAATGTGCCAACTCACCCAAAACTAACCGTTTCCTTCCTTCTCAGAAAACAGAGATTGGGTGAAACAATCATTTCTTGAATTTTTTGTAAAACCAAATTCACCAAAAAAAAAATTTAAATAGAAATTTGTTTAAAACTTTAAAACATAATTTTTTTAAAACAAAAATTGGATGAAAACAGCCAAACCCTTCAAAAATAAAATTAAAAAAAAATCACAATTTTTTTTTTTAAAACATAATTAGACAACAACAACAATCAAGTTAAAATTTTATTCACCCAAAAAAAAAAACAACAACAATCAAGCAATTTCAGCATGTAAGTGGATTTCAAGCAAATTTATACTAAAAAATATCTAGATTTCAAGACGCTTGATGGAATTCTGAGACGATTTCAACACTTTGAAGCTTCGGCTTCATCTTCCTTATCTTTGTGCTTTGTTTTCATCTTCTTCGTTGGGGTTTGAGGTTGGGATTTCAGATTCAACAATTAATTGGATTTCAAGCAAATTTATACTAAAAAAACACCTAGATTTTAAGATGCTCGATAGATTTCTGGGACGATTTTAGCACTTTAAAGCTTCAGCTTCATCTTCTTCATCTTTGTGCTTTGTTTTCATCTTCTTCATTAGGGTTTGAGGTTTGGATTTCAAGTTCATCTATCAAGGACTGATTTAGGGTTTCTTCACCTTCGATTAGGATTTCGACCTCTCTCAATTTAGAGTGAGATCAAGAGATAAAGATCCAAAAGGATATGGGGTTTGGTGGTGAGAAGGGGAGAGTGAAAGAAGAAAGGGAGAGGTGGTGTTTGCGAAGTCTAGAACTTGGGTTTTTTTTTTTTTTTTTTTCACAAAAAGACAAACTTTTTGCAAAATAAAAAAAAAAAATACATCCAAACAAAATATCACATTTAACTCCATAATCATTTCACTTTTTTTCTCACAAACATCACATTCAACCATAAAAAAAATTCAACTATCTTCCCAAACACAAAAAAAAATTTCTCCAATAATATCCTACAACTAAAAAAACTTACATAAAAACTCACTTTCCAAACAGCCATAGAGACCGATAAGATTTCTCAGAATTGATCGAGTACGGTTTGAGGGAATGAGTGGGATCCAAGAGGTTTGAAAGTATGGAACCCGATTTCCAATGTATCGAACCAAATCAGAAGGGTTTAGGGTAGGAGGGAGAAAAAGAGAGAGAGAGCCAACGATTTAGAGAATGGAGAGAAAGAGAGAGAATATTGTATGGTGCCGTTGGATAATTGGAAAATAGAGGCCGGAAGGTTCTGGATCTCTCAAATGCTACATATTGTAATTTTATTTTATTTTTTTGTTTGAACTGGCAACAAATTTTGTATTAAACGACTATAAAATTTTTATATTTTTATATCTCAAAATTTTTTATTTTTTAAATTTTTTAATATTTATAGAATGTAAATATTTTTTTTTAAAAAAAGGTCAAAAAATAAACAATAAAAAAATACTCAAAAAGCTATATCCAAACATTACCTGTAAAATTAGAGAGAAAGTTAGTTGAGATTTACCAAAATAACTTTGCACCATTGCTATAATTTAGCAAATTGCTATTGTAGCGTGCCAAATTATAGCTTTAGCAATGCTATTTTGACAAATATCATTGGAGATGCTCTAACCAATCGTATTATGAAAAATTATTATAGATTCATGATAAAATTAATGAATTTATTTATTAATGTGTATAAAATTGATCAGTTATTTATAATTTTTTTAAAGTCTACCTACAAATCAAATTCTCCCTAAATAAAAACCCCTATTTGTTGTAGAATTATTTAGAGTTATTAAAAGACGGGAGTGATTGTGTGCTCAACTAATGATGTTTTGTTATTTATGTATCGTGTTCCTATTTTTTTAAGTGTACAAGTATGCAACTCTTTGTTATTGGATAGGTACACCGCAACTATAGAATTCCCGAAAGATTGAATAATTACTTGTATTAGTTGGGAGTTGGACCAGAAGAATAAATATTAAGAGTAACAATTTATGTAGTGTTACTAGTCGATATAAATTATAAATGAAACTAAAGGATGATTTGAGTAGGTTAAAAGTTGACTTTTTAGTTTTTTTTTTAGATTTTTGGTCCCTTTGTGTGTAAAAAATATGAAGGGTAATGTGACCCAAATTGCCATAGATTAAATCCTAAAGCTAGTTTTTAGCTAACTTCTTAAATTGCCATAGATTAGTCTTTTTTTTCTTTTTCTTTTTTTAAACAAAAAAAAGAAAAGGTGCTCCTTGGTGACATCATTTCAACTTCTAGATTTCGGTGATTTAAAGCCAAATTTACTCTAATCCAAAGGAAAGAATCCATCACCCGAATAAATGGAGAATGCATCAACCCCAAATACAGAAGGCATGACTTAACCCTAAATAGACCCTGCACATGCGATTCGTAGGCACTATTTCAAAATGAATTTAAACCCTAGTCTAATCTCAGCTCTATAAAATAAGGTAGGATTCAATTTCTCTCACTCTCTCTCCTCTCTTCCCTCTTGGTCGGCAATGAGAAGGAAAATGGCTGAGGAAGTGTTGTTCTTGGCTCAAGTATGTGTGTGAGATAGTGGCCCACTCAATGGCAAAACGGTAATTAAGTCCAACTCTTCAATTGGCTTATTTTAATCTAATTTAATCATACCTAATCAATTTTCAGATACTTATACCATAAAATCACATTAAATATGAGGGTCACGTAACATCAATCGGTTTCAGATTCGGCCGCCGATAAGGCCTTCAAATAGCAGTTTAAACATATAAACATGAACAGATAATCAGACAATCAAACAGATAGAATGCAATTAACTAACATATACTCAGTCAATTCAGTTTCAACTTCAGTCAGTCGGTTCAGTATTTCATTCAGTTCGATTATCAGTTAGTTATCAGTCATCATCAGCTTCGTTTAACAGTAATCGGTGATTAACGGTAATCAATCGGTCATAAATCAGTAAACAGTACGAGGGTTGTTACACAAGTGGATTTCAAGCAAATTTATACCAAAAAAATACCTAGATTTCAAGACGCTTGATGGAATTCTGAGACGATTTCAGCACTTTGAACCTTCGGCTTCATCTTCCTTATCTTTATGCTTTGTTTTCATCTTCTTCGTTAGGGTTTGAGGTTGGGATTTCAGGTTCAACAATTAATTGGATTTCAAGCAAATTTATACTAAAAAATACCTAGATTTTAAGATGCTTGATAGATTTCTGGGACGATTTTAGCACTTTAAAGCTTCAGCTTCATCTTCTTCATCTTTGTGCTTTGTTTTCATCTTCTTCATTAGGGTTTGAGGTTTGGATTTCAAGTTCATCTATCAAGGACTGATTTAGGGTTTCTTCATCTTCGATTAGGGTTTCGACCTCTCTCGATTTAGAGTGAGATCAAGAGACAAAGATCCAAAAGGATCTGGGGTTTGGTAGTGAGAAGGGGATAGTGAAAGAAGAAAGGGAGAGGTGGTGTTTGGGAACTTGGGTTTTTTTTGATTTTTTTCACAAAAAGACAAACTTTTTGCAAAATAAAAAAAAACACATCCAAACAAAATATCACATCTAACTCCATAATCATTTCATTTTTTTTTCTCACAAACATCACATCCAATCACAAAAAAAATCCAATTATCTTCCCAAGCACAAAAAAAAAATTTCTCCAATGATATTCTATAACTAAAAAAATCTACATAAAAACTCACTTTCCAAACACCCATAGAGACTGATAAGATTTCTCATAATTGATTGAGTACGGTTTGAGGGAATGAGTGGGATCCAAGAGGTTTGAAAGTATGGAACCCGATTTCCAATGTATCGAACGAAATCAAAAGGGTTTAGGGTAGGAGAGAGAGAGAGAGAGCCAACGATTTAGGGAATGGAGAGAAAGAGAGAGAATATTGTATGGTGCCGATGGATAATTGGAAAATAGAGGCTGGAAGGTTCTGGATCTCTCAAATGCTACATATTGTAATTTTATTTTATTTTTTTGTTTGAACTGGCAACAAATTTGTATTAAACAACTATAAAATTTTTATATTTGTATCTCTCAAAATTTTTTATTTTTTTTATTTTTTTATATTTATAGAATGTAAATATTTTTTTAAAAAAAAGGTCAAAAAATAAACAATAAAAAAATCACTCAAAAAGCTATATCCAAACATTACCTGTAAAATTAGAGAGAATAGTTGAGATTTACCAAAATGACTTTGCACCATTGCTATAATTTAGCAAATTGCTATTGTAGCGTGTCAAATTATAGCTTTAGCAACGCTATTTTGACAAATATCATTGGAGATGTTCTAACCAGTCGTATTATGAAAAATTATTATAGATTCATGATAAAATTAATGAATTTATTTATTAATGTGTATGAAATTGATCAGTTATTTATAATTTTTTTAAAGTCTACCTATAAATTAAAGTCTGCCTAAATAAAAACCCCTATTTGTTGTAGAATTATTTAGTGTTATTAAAAGACGGAGTGATTGTGTGCTCAACTAATGATGCTTTGTTATTTATGTATCGTGTTCCTATTTTTTTAAGTGTACAAGTATGCAACTCTTTGTTATTGGATAGGTATACCGCAACTATAGAATTCCCGAAAGATCGAATAATTACTTGTATTAGTTGGGAGTTGGACCAGAAGAATAAATATTAAGAGTAACAATTTATGTAGTGTTACTAGTCAATATAAATTATAAATGAAACTACAGGATGATTTGAGAAGTAGGTTAAAAGTTGACTTCTTATTTTTTTCTTTTTTAGATTTTTTATCCTTTTGTGTGTAAAAAATATGAAGGGTGATGTGACCCAAATTGCCATAGATTAAATCCTAAAGCTAGTTTTTAGCTAACTTCCTAAATTGCCATAGATTAGTCTTTTTTTCTTTTTCTTTTTTTTTTTTCAAAAAAAAAGGTGCTCCTTGGTGACATCATTGCAACTTCTAGATTCCGGTGATTTAAAGCCAAATTTACTCTAATCCAAAAGAAGGAATCCACCACCGGAATAAATAGAGAATGCACCAACCCCTAATACAGAAGGCATGGCTTAACCCTAAATAGACCCTGCACATGCGATTCGTAGGCACTATTTCAAAATGAATTTAAACCCTAGTCTAATCTCAGCTCTATAAAATGCATAATAACAATGCACCAGACTCAAAATTAATAAGTCTCGTCCCCAAATATCATCTAAAAACTTGAATCTATGTTGTGTGTGTGCACCAAGCAACATGATAAGTACCAAGCACCACCACAAGCCTACCATGTTATACTAGCATATTCAAAGAGCGCGTAGAGAGTGATGATGAGTCAATAGCCTAAAGGGAAAAAAAAGCAAGAAGAATAAAGTGGTCATTGGGGGCGTTTTTGTTCTCATTTGATTGAGTTGCCCATTAGATTAGGCTTTTGGAAGAGTAGGGATACAATGTGTAATATAAGATAAAAAGTATTTTATGTAACTGGTATATTATTAAAGTATTTTTCTATATCACAAACATTACGTGGTGGTATTAGTGTTAAATGAATAAGCAAATTTTGTGATACAAAGTCTAATATTATTGAATCAACAAGAGACATTGTAATGGTATCACTCAATATATTCGTTACACAAAATACGACCTTGTAGTATAAGTGGTTTATATTGGGTTTGCAGGGGAGGATGGTGAATTTGGATTTTTTCAAATTGTAGTATTAGTGTAAATACATATACATACACACATTGGTATAGTAAGTGAGTCAATCACACTGGCTAAGAGGAATAACAGCAGTGGCCGGTCAGCCAGTTACTGCAAAAGCCTCCCTCCAACCGACCAACTCTGCTCTGTTTCCTTTTTTTTTTTTTTTTTTTTTTTTGGCTGGGCCTCCTATTTGTTTCTTGTCATTCTTTGTATGTTATTTGCCAAAACTCTAGAGCACCTGTGACTACTCTATTTCCCTTTGTTTGATTATGCAAAAAAAATATATGTATATACATACATATATATCACAAATTTCTAATAAAATACTGAAATGGAAAGGATGTAAATGAAAATTCACGGGACCCATGTGGAGGACCTGAGTATGGAAACTTTCCACACATTTGGTTTGGCAATCAACATTCCTGCAACAACCTAGTTGAGTTTGTGAGAGTTGATTAGAATAATAACCTAAATCAATCAAAATCAAGCAAGTTTGAAGTATCCTATATGGAATAATTGAACTCCCTACTTTTCTCTTTATTATATGTACAAAGATTCTCCTAGCGTTTATAGCTCAAATTGCTACTTTTTGATTATGTAGCTAAATCAATCCACAATGGGGTGGGGGTGAATTTGTAGCTACACTTCTTAGTTCCTACATCCTAGGCATATATCATCATCATTATCATAAAAAAAAAAAAAAAAGAAGAAGGACGCTCCTTCGGCGAATTTTTTTTTGAGGTAAAATACTTCAAAAATTCTGTTCCGTTTCGGCTTCTTTTTATTATAAATTTTTTATTTTTTGTTTTTTGTTTAGAAGTTGCTGAAAGACTAATATCTGTATACTCAAACAACACAAATTACAAACATATCAAGATGTCAGAACCAAGACTTCTAAAAGGTACAAATCTTCAAAACTTCTCTCTTAAGAGAAAGAGTCCACAATCTTCTCCATGAGGCATATATTTCTTGGAAATTCATCAATCCATCTTGCTCGAAGACAAACCGTACAACTTAGGATCAGTCTGATAGTACACAACCTCTCCGGTATCGCTGACATAGTGATCTTGTTTGATGCTTCTAACTAAATAACTCACCAAGTGAAATGGAATAGGCCCTGATTTTTTGGGCTCTCGGTAGTACTTTCCAAGCACTGGCTTAGCTGCCTTAGTCTGCATCATGATGACATAATCATCAAATTATTAGCATTTTTTAAGGGAAATTATTGGACTTAGCCGGTGAAGAACCATTTCTTACCGCTTCTATTAAGTGGTAGTGTGGGATTTGAGGGAAGAGGTGATGTACAACATGAGTGCCAATGTCATGGTGGATGTTGTTGATCCATCCATAATCGCGATCAATGGTTGTTAGCCCTCCCCTTAAGTAGCTCCATTCCTGTTTAGAGAGAAACATAAGATTGGGGGGTATTTTTTATTTTTTATTTGAATTGATTAAAACTAAGCATATTTGGAAAAGCTGAGAACAAAAATTTGTTAGTACCTTTCCACGGTACCAAGGAAGCTTTTGTTCGTAGCCATGGTGATGCAAGTAAGTAACGGTGTCCAACCACATAACAAAAATCTGTGATAAATGTGCAACAAGATTGAATCAAATGGAATTGAAGTATTTGGAGCATTTGAAATTCATTCTTTTTATCAGATGGAATTCTAGGAACACTTTGAGAATGGAATGTGTTTGACTTACCATGTAAGGAACACCATAGAGTTTAAGCATTTGGAAAGACCCAAACACCGTGGATAGGTAGAAAAGCAGGGAAACCATTAAAGTCCAACATACAGTTGAAGTGATCACATGTTTCCTCTCGCCGGGAAGGAACAATTCACTGTAGGGATTGAAATGAGAACCTGTCTTTCCTGGACTCCTAGTCCACTGCAAGTCAACCCCATCAAGTCAGCAAAACTAGCTCCCAAGAAATCCTGTTTGGTTGTGTTTTTGTTTCCGGTTCTTGTGTCTCTTGTTTTTGGAAAGAAATAATGGAAAGTTTGAAAAGACTTGTCATTTTCATTTTTTAGCGAAATTAGTTTCTGAGAATTTTTGTGAAACAATTCGCCAAACCAGTTTACCCGGAATATGAGAACAGAAAACAGAAAACAAAAACACAGAGAGGCTAGTGTCATAAACAACTAGATAGACAGATTCTCACCAAATATATAGGGTATGCAAACATGGGGAATGGAACTTTAAATCTTAGGATTTTGGTAGATTCATCCAAAGTCTTGTATATCTTCTCAGGCAACTGTAACCATAAGAGTAATTAATTAAATACTAGCAGATATGAAACATTGGAACCATAAAAAAAAATATATAGAAATGCTATGTATCCAGAAAAAAAAAAATTCGATCTGCACATTTCAAATTCTAAACACTTTTCTGGATACATAACATTGCTGTAAAAAAAAAAAATTATCAAGATTATTGTTAAGTACTAAAAAAGATGAAAACATGAATTGATTAACAGAAAAAGATGAACGGGGGGAAAATTATAGAAGTATTACCGGTACCCATGATTCATCATTTTCAACATGTCCATGATTCTGATGGTGAGTTCTGTGGCTAATTCTCCTGTAATTATATATCAGTCATATGCACAAACACACCATCCATGATATACAAATATCAAGAATAAAAGAGTTAAGATCAAGAACACACCATCCATGATAAGGCACAAGAATTGATGAATGCAGGAGATGTCCAACAACACTATTCAACAAAGGGTTGTCGGAAAAGCTTCCGTGGCCACTGCAGATTCAAAAAAAAAAAAAAAAAAAAAAAAAAAAAAAAAATGAGCCTTCAAATTGAATTTCCAAAACAGGAATTGTAAGCATGTTATGTATATTACCAATCATGACCAAGAACAAACAGTGCCCAAAACATTGTCCCCTGGGCAGCCCAGTAAAATGGCCAAACAACCCAACTGTCAAAGAAATTTGCCAATGCAGCTAATCCAAAAATCACAATAACATCCCTAATCACATAACTAATAGATCGCCACGGGTTCTTGACCCAGCAGTGGCTAGGAATGGCAGCTCGAATCTCCGCTATCCTAAACGGAGGAGGTGCACCGGGGTCAAATTTATCTTCATCGCGGACCTTATCAACCCCAATCATGGCATTCCCTTCCATCACCTTTGATGAGGCCTTCGATGAAGAACTGACCACGCTAAGTCCACCCTCTTTATCTGCAGAACAATTGGAATGCAGTTTTAAACATTGTTACAGGTCTTAAAATTTTTGAATTCAATTGTTAAAGATTGAACTTGCCTAGCAAAATCAGAAACAGAACATGTTATGTTTTGTGTAGATTTAAAGGATAATTTTGAATTTTGGTTATTCTTTATCAATGAGATCATGCAATCTTGAACATGAGAATATGGGGTTAACTTAAGCTAGAGTGTGAATTATGCACCACAAATTTGCATAATTCACTCAAAATGAGAAAATGCAAAACAGGTTAAATAGTCAGTGGATAATGGGCGAGAAATACTCAGGGGGTATAAATGGTGTGTGAAGGAAGGTTTAACCATACATTTTCCTATCCCCCAGGGGACTCTAACCTAACGAACTACGAATATTAAGGACACTTGGTTAGCATTCCCTCCCATAACCCATCTCTCTCTCTCTCTCTCTCTCTCTCTTAATGGGCAAATTTGTTACAAAACAAAACTATATAGGTTAAAATGACAATGGAAAAACTACAAGATCCATTAGTGCAATTAATTTTTTGTTTATTTTCTTATTTTTCTTATGCATTATGGGCACGGGAGAAGCACCTGACTAGTTTTTGTCAAAAAATCTTGAAAAAATAATTTGAATACAATTATAAAATTAAAGTGTAAAATTAATTCAATAAAAATTATAAAGCCTAAATGGTAAATTATATTGTTGGTTCTTTTTAATTAAATTGAGCAAAGTTTTGAGCCAATATTTGAAATTTCAATTTCATCAATTTAAATTATATAAAATTAGCATATTACTTGTGCTATATATAGGTATAAATAAATAATTAAAAATTAGTTTCTAAATTAAAATAATAATATAAAATTTATTTAAATTATATAGTAAAAATGATTTATAATCAATTAAATTTTATTTATTTTCATCAAAGTTACACATAAGAAAAGATTTTTATTCTGATGTCATTAATTAAGTGTTCTAAGTTCTTAATAAAAAATTGCATGTCATAATTTAATTGGTAAAAATTAAAGAATAAATTACAAAAAAATATTTACAATAAAATATAAATACATTTCGTTTTATAAGTTTCGTGATTTTAATTTACCATATGATAGTAATAAATTACATTTGTTAAATACTAATTTTTTTTTAAAAATTATCTTTATCGGTTCATGACCGGTATAAGCTGGTTTGGAAATTTTAATATTGAATTAAATATTAAAAATTAGTCTAGAAAATCTAGTTCAAGTTGATTTTTTTTTCTCAATAATTCTTAATTTAAGCTATAATACATAATATTTTAATAACTCAATATCATAAAAAATAATTATCATCTTAATGTTTACGGTGCTTTTTATCAATCAATAAAAAATATTATAAATACTAAGAGAATTACATTTAAACAAATCATAACATAAAATTTTTACTTTAAAACTTTAAGACCTGTACATTTTCTTTGACTCCACAACTAATTTTTGAGATAGTAATTAAAATAAATTTTAGTCATTATTATATGGAGAGACATCTATGATAAGAGTTCGTAATACACAATTTTAAAAAATAATATTAAATTCAAAATTTTTAGTATGGATGTATCCAACTTTATGTTATGATTGATTCATGGATTTGGGTAGAAATTTGGAATGAGAATGGAAAAATATAAGTGAAATGTGAATGAAATATAACTATATTTTACTTAATTTTACATATTTTTTCATTTCCCCTTTCAAAACTTCTACCAAAAATCATGAACCAAACACATTATCAATGTTTGAAAGGAGTTTTGGATCCTTTATTGCATTGACATACACTATCTTAAAAAAAAAACTTATATAATATTTGGTGGGAGAAGCACGTTTTTAAAATAAATCGTCAATCACATTATAAGAGAATAAAAGGTAGCCAATAACAAAAGCCTCCATCATCATAGAATTTCTGGTTTACAGATAACGCCACACTGCCCTACACTGTAACAACCCCCATACTGTTTACTGATTAATGACCGATTGATTACCGATAATCACCGATTACTGTTAAACGGAACTGATAATGACAAAAGTTATAATATATTTTTAAAAAAAAAATTAAAATTGATTAGTTAACTTTCCTTTTCAAATTTCTAAATTTAAATTTATAAATAAATTAATTAACTTTTTTTTGAAATGTGTAAATCAAAGTATAATATATATATTTTTTAATAATTCAATAAAAGTTAGTCAATAGAAAATTTTTTAATTATTCAAAAAATAAGAATTCTAGAAAAATAGTATGAAAGTTTTGAGTTTCACAAGACTCTTCTCATTAGAAATCTCATTTTCTTAATATATTGTATAAATGTGGTTCAACATTAATTGTTGCTAGAATTTTGAATAAAAAAAGGTCAAAATTTTTAGCACTTCTATCACAAGAAAAAAAATTGACTAAATTACACCAGAGTAAACATGTGTTCATATTTTTGCAAAAATACTTTGAAAAAATGAAGCAAATGGTGCATCAAAGTAGCCATTCTTTTACACACAGACAAAGGGTTCTCTTTTTTAACCATGACTAAACTTTGGTGACACAACACATGTATGTTTTATTTATTTGTGGAGACTTGCAATTTGCATACCTTAGACTCATCTCAAAGTTGCTCCTGGAAGTCCCTTTTCCTACTTCTTTGGAATCCACCATCACCATCTCTCTCTCTCTCTCTCTCTCTCTCTCTCTCTCTCTCTCTATATATATATATATATATATATATACCACCCTTGTTTATACAACTTTGACACCCAATAAGGACTGTTTGGGCAAGATGACTAAAAATCAAATTTTGAATTTTAACTTATTTTGGGTCACTCGCCTATCTACTTTTTTACATGTTTTTTCCAAAAAAAAAAAAAGGGTTAAAAAGTCAACTTCTAATCAATTTCTCAAAACAATCCTAAGCAATATGACATGAACATCATGCCATACCAGTTAAGAGTAGTTTGTCATTCTAACCCCCAATATTTGTATAAATATATATACAACAACTCTAAATTATGAGATCTATATATCACCGTAATATATTCATCAATCTTATAAATATGTTGGTCTCACAAAAACAGGTTTTACATATTTTTGAGACAAAAATATTTACCAGTATAACATCAATCATAAAATACTTCTACCCAAATCATAACAAGGCACATGCTAAAAGATATACAATATGCAGTGTGTACGAGCACAGAATGTAGGGTTCGTTGTGGGGATCCTTGCTTTAAATTCTGTTAAATAAGGTGGGTTTTCTTACATGTAACATTTAATTTTTTACTAAACCAGCATAATACTTGCGTTATACACACGATTTTAAATAAATAATTAGTAATTAATTTAAAAAAAATAAAATTAATTAAATTGTAACTATTTTTATCACAATTTCACTTATCGTTTTTTTTCCCTCTACCATTAATGATATGTTTAAGTTTTAAATAACAATAACATGAATCATAATGTAATTAGCAAAAATTAAGCAAAAATTATGTTAAATTATAAATTGTACTTTTTAATTTTTATTTTTAAGAACAAAAACTACACCTATGATAAAATATAAATACATTATTATTTTCAAAGAGTTTCATAATTTTAATTTGCCATATATTAGATGATATCGTAAACTATATGAAACTCAATAATTATTATTATTATTTTTTACTAATTACATTTTTTAGTATGCTGTACGGGGAGGAAATAATTCTCCTCGTATAATCCTGTTGACCAAGTCCACGCTCCTCCGTACGACGTCGCTTTGTCACCTGAAAACACAAACGTGAGCTAGCCGGCGGGTGTGTGCCGGAAACCTCTCCGATGCCTAAGTCAGAAAACTTGACAAATAGACAAAGCTCAAAGTTCTCAGAAAGATTTTGTTCAATTACCTCCTCCAAGGTGATGCTTGTGAGCTTTTATAAGTTTCATATGGCACAATCCTAGTAGGACTTGTATTTCTCCCAGCAGGCCTTCGGTAATCTCGGATTACTGGCCGGTTACGGTGCTAAACCCATAGGGCCGGATTTGGGTCGTGACATACACTTTCCCATCTGCTGTTTGCGGATGATGTGCTTTTATTCCTTAGAGCAAATGTCGATGAGTGCACAAATTTTCTGGATGTATTGCGCTTGTACTGTGGAGCATCAGGTCAGGTTGTTAATTTTGACAAGTCTTGTGTTCAATGTTCTCCTAATGTTTTGCCGGATATTCAAAGCAGCATCTGCAGGCTCTTAGGTCTAAGCTTATCACTAGCCTCTGCGAAATATCTCGGTTTACCTTCATGCTGGGGGAGGTCCAAGGTGGAGGCTTACGATTTCATCATTGAGAAAGTTTTGGCAAAATTACAAGGCTGGAAATTAAAGTTGTTGTCTCCTGCTGGGAGGGAAGTTTTAATTAAAGCTGTTGTCCAAGCTATTCCCACTTATGCGATGGCTTGTTTTGCTTTCCCCAAGAAATTTTGCGATAAACTAAATTCATCCATTAGTAAATTTTGATGGAGGGGCGACCCGGAAGGGAAATGAATTCATTGGGTAAGTTGGGGGCAGCTAGCTATACCCAAAATCCATGGAGGCCTGGGTTTTCGGGATTTTAAAGCGTTTAACATGGCCCTCCTTGCTCGCCAAGGTTGGAGGTTACTGAAGTTCCCTAATTCATACTGTGCCAGGATGTTAAAAGGTATTTATTTTCCCCATTCAAATTTCGCTGATGCTTCGCGAGGAAGGCGAGCCTCCTGGGGATGGACTAGTCTTATTCATGGTAGGAGTATTTTTCTTGAAGGAGTTCGATGGCAAGTCCACAATGGGGCCTCTGTTTCATTTTGGGATGACAAATGGATTCCTTCTATTCCTGGGTTTAAACTGTATTCTCTAAGACCAGCGATTTGCGAAGTTTCTCGAGTGGTGGATGTGATTGATCCAGTACACAAGAGCTGGAAAGTTGATTCCCTAAACAACTTAATTTCGGCAAAGGAAGTTGAAGCCATCTGTATTATTCCAATTTCGGAAGAGAATATGGAGGATACTTTGGTTTGGCAGTTCGAGTCTAAGGGCTCTTATTCGGTGAAGTCGGGTTATCATGTTGTTTTAAAAGAGAGAGACAGGAAGCTAATTCAAAGACCGTCTTCCTCTTTTCAGCTTCCTCAGAACTTTTGGAAATTCATTTGGCCTCTTAATATCCCTCCGAAAATCCGTCATTTTTGGTGGAGAGTGTGCAAGAATGGGCTAGCTACGAAGGAAAATTTGTTCAAACGGAATTGTGCTGAGTAT